CCCGTGCTTCTGGATCAGAGTTCCCGCTCGTCCTCATTCTGAACCCGTCCCCAGACGCCCACACCAAACCCCCCTTCTGCTCTTTGCCTCGCCTAGAGACTCCAGCCACCGTCTATCCATGCTTCCCTCGCCACAGTGAGTACTCTTCACGTCACCCTTGTCTATCTCATTGCCAGTGAGACTGGGGGCTGCCCAGGCTCTCCTAGGGACTCCCTGCTGTTCCTGCTTGTTCTGTGTCCCTCCGTGGTGCCACAGAAGGGCTGTGAGCATCATCTGAGGTCCTGCCTGACTGGAGCTCAGCCTGGCCAAGGGGAGGCCCCCTCAGGGGTTCCTTCCTTCCCCTCACTGCCCTGCTTATTGGCACAGGGCCGCTGCTCCAAGGGCTCCCACAGGCAGGCACGTGTTGCCATGTCAGGGTTCCAGACTGCCTTGGGCGTGCCGCCCACCCCACCAGGGAAGGTATACACTCAGCACCTGGCTCAGCACCCACTGCCAGATGCACAGGATGGCTTCAGGATGAGAGGAACTCAGAGACAGAGGCAAAGTGCTGATCCAGGCCCTTTTTCCAACCCCAAACCCCAGACCCCAGAAATGAAACTATCATAGAACACCTCAACTATGGGACTCTGTGTGTGTGTGTGTGTGTGTGTGTGTGTGTGTGTGTGTGTGTGTGTGTGTGTGTGTGTGTGTGTGTGGAGGGGTGGCCCGGGACCCTTCGGGAGGGGCTACATCTACGACAAAGGTGAGCCACAGTTAGCACGCCCAGAACTGGACATGGAACAGCAAGAAGGATGTCAGCGAACCAGCCAGGGCTTCTACTCCCAGCTCCCCACTTGGGACTTCCTTCTTCCCCACATTTCTTGCCAGAGTTTCACATCCCTGCGAGAATCCCAAGCTGATACCTCCCCAGATCTAAATCCATCTCAGATTTCAGACCTGCGTGAGCCTCTCCGCACCTCCCAGTCTTGGTCCTGCAGACCCTCCCGTCAACCTGCGAAGGACTGCCCTCCATCCCTGTGTAAAATACCCCCCTCAGGGGGCTGAACTAGGCGGGCATGGCAATGCATAGGGGTCTGGAAGGCCAAATCCTTGAGCTCAGAGAAAATCAATGACAAGGAGGGCTGGGGGAGACCAGAGCTGGAGGTCAGCCAGGACTTCTGGGTCCTGTCTCCAGGTTTACTGAACACCTGGGCTTTCAAAGATGGCATGGACTTGGTTGAAGAGAGGCTAAATAAAATGACTAGTCCCAGCCATACCACCAACTAAGGCTGTGTAGTGACTGCTAATTCACTTCATTTCTCCAGTCCTCAATTTTCTCATCTGTCAAACAGGGGGCTAAGAGAAGTTCCAAGACATGACGGGGAAGGCATAGGCTGGGACACTGGACAGGGATCGGACACCTTTTTTCCCCCTGCCTCTTCCCACTTCCCTGTCAGGATAGAGGCTGACCCACAGCAGCAGGGGAGGGGGCACGAGGCTGCCTACCATCGTCTTTCCAGCCCAAGCTTTTTTCCTTTGACTTGGATTCACAGAAAAGAAAGAATGATCAGTATGAAGGGAAGGAAATAAAACACCACCATGAGAAAGGGAAAAAATTTAAAAAAAAATTCCAAAAGCAAGATACACTACCAGGAAAACACAGAAAGGTGACTGGAGACACGGCAGGAGTTCAAACATCTCTTGATGTCAGAAACCAAGATGAGATGAAGCGGATGGAGATCAGGGCGGGCGAGGGAGAGGGGAGCGCACAGA